CATATACGGACCAGTTCCCGCTCACTGGCTGAGCGAGGTGTGGGAGCAACACCGAGGGTTGCGATCCCGTTGCTGGTCCCGGTCCGGTGCAGGCACGACACTGAGGGTTGCGATCCATTGCCGGACACGAAAAAAGACAAAAAGGGGAAAAAAAAAAAAAATTTACTTAATTCAGTTCTTTATAGTCACATCTCCAAAATAGAAGTGTGACCCTAAAGAAATGCAACTGGTTCTTTACCAGCACATGGCAATTTTAATATGTGGTGTGAGACTCCCCCTAGGAGGCTGTATTAGTCCGTTTTGTGTTGCTATAACAGAAATACCTGAGACTGGGTAATTTATAAAGAAAAGAGGTTTATTTGGCTTATGATTCTGGGACAGTTGCATCTGGCACGGGCCTCAGGCTGCTTCTACTCATGGCAGAAAGTGGCAGGGAGCTGGTGGGTACAAGTAGGTCACATGGCAAGAGGAAGCGAGAGAGAGAGAGAAGGTGCCAGGGTCTTTTTTAAGCGATGAGCTCTCGTGGGAACCAAGAGAGCGAGAACTCACTCATTAATCCCCCCTCCACCAGGGAGAGCATTAATGCATTCATGAGGGATCTGCCCCCATGACTCAGTTTCCAACACTGCCACACTGGAGATCAAATTTCCACATGAGTTTTGGAGGGGACAACACACATCCAAACTCCATCATTCTGCCCCTGGCCCCCCAAAACTCATGCCACTCTCACATACAAAATATAATCATTCTATCCCAACAGTCCCAAAAGTCTTAGCTTGCTCCAGCACCAACTTAAAAGTCCAAAGTCTCATCTGAGACCAAAAGCAAAAGTCTTTCCAGCTGTGAACATGAAAAACAAAACCAAATTTATCTACTGCCAAGATACAATGGTGGAACAGGCATTGGGTATACATTCCCATTCCAAAAGGGAGGAATAGGACAGAAGAAAGGAAAAACAGGTCCCAAACAAGTCCGAAACCCAGCAGGGCAGACGTTATGTCTTAAACCTCCAAAATAATCTTCTTTGACTCCAAGTCCTGCATCCTGGGCACAACTGGGCATCTGGCCCCCCAAAGCCTCAGGCAGCCTCACTTCCACAGCTCTGCCAGGCATAGCCCTTTGGGCTGCACTGGTGCCTGCAGCTTTTCCAGGCCTGTGCTGCACATTACCAGTGGCCCTGCAGTTCTGGGGTCCTGAAGGCAGCCCTGCTGCACTGACTCTACTAGACATTTCCCTGGTGGGAGTTGTCTGTGTGGGCTCCAACCCCACTTTTCTGCTTGGCATTGCTCTAGTAGATGACCTCTGTGGTGGCTCCGCCCCTGTGGCAGGTCTCTGCCTGGGCTTCCAGGCTTTTCCACACATCCTCTGGAATCTGGGTGGAGGCTGCCATGACTCCACTGCTCTCACGTCCTGCCGGCCTGCAGACTTAACACAACGCGGACGCCACCGAGGTTTCGGGCCTCTACTCTCCAGGGCTGCTGCACGAACCACACTTGGGGCTGCTCCAGCCAGAGCAGCTGGAATGCAGGGAGCAGGATCCCGAGGGCAGCTGTGCCCCAGGTCTTTCCTCCAGGATAACTCAGTTCTTCTAGGCCTCAGGGTCTGCGATGGGTGGGGCACCCTTCCAGACTTCTCAAATGCCTTTAGGGCATTTTTTACATTGTCTTGGTTATTAGCATCTGGCTGCCTCACTGCCAAGATAATGTCTTTAGCAACTAGTTTATCTGCTTCACCCTTGCATTGTTCTCCAGCTCTCTGCTTCTTTACCTCATGGCCAGGCTGCAAAGTTTCCAAATCTTTACTCTCTGCTTCCCTTTTAAATTCTGGCTTTACGGGGCTGGCCCGGTGGCGCACTGCACTAGTGCACCGCTTGGGAAGCGCGGCGGCGCTCCCACCGAGGGTTCGGATCCCACATACAGACCGGTTCCCGCTCACTGGCTGAGCGAGGCGCGGGGGCAACGCCGAGGGTTGCGATCCCGTTGCCGGTCCCGGTCCGGTACGGGGGCGACACTGAGGGTTGCGATCCGTTGCCGGACATGGAAAAAGACAAAAAAAATAAAAAAAATAAAAAAATAAAAATAAATTCTGGCTTTACGTTAATGCCTTTGCCACCATAACTCAGAGTAGGCTGTTAGAAGTAGCCATGCAGCGTTCTTAATGCTTTGCTGCTTAGAAATTTCTTTGGCTAAATGCTCTGGTTCACAACTCTTAAGATCCAACTTCCACAAAGTCCAAGGGCATGGACACAATGTAGCCAGGTTCCTTGCTGTGGTGTAGCAAGGTTATCTTTTGTCCAATTCCCAATAAGTTCCTTATTTCTATCTGAGACCTCATCATCCGCCTGGCCTTTACTGTCCACATTGCTATCAGCATTCTGCTTGCCACCACATAAGTCTCTAAGACATTCCAAACTTTCCCTTGTCTTTTTCTCTTCTTCTAAGCCCTCCAAACTCCTCCAACCTTTGCCCATTACCCGGTTCCAAAGCTGCACCCACATTTTCAGGTATCTGTACAGCAACACCCCACTCCTCCGTACCAATTTTCTGTATTAGTCCGTTTTTGTTGCTTATAACAAAGTACCTGGAACTGGGTAATTTATAAAGAAAAGAGGTTTATTTGGCTTACGATTCTGGGACAGTTGCACCTAGCATGGGCCTCAGGCTGCTTCTACTCATGGCGGAAAGTGGCAGGGAGCTGGTAGGTACAAGCAGGTCACATGGCAAGAGGAAGCAAGAGAGAGAGAGAAGGTGCCAGGGTCTTTTTTAAGCAATGAGCTCTCATGGGAACTAATAGAGTGAGAACTCACTCATTAATCCCCTCTCCCCAGGGAGAGCATTAATCCATTCATGAGGGATCTGCCCCCATGACTCAACAGTTTCTAACACTGCCACACTGGAGGTCAAATTTCTACATGAGTTTTGGAGGGGACAACACATCTAAACTCCATCAGAGGCCATCCTCAACGTTCTGCATCTTCTTCTTTGGAACAGGTTTAAGAAACAGAAACAGGTTGAAGTGCTGTACAGGAAAAGTAGGCGGTCCTTGATAACCAACTTCCTTTCTTAACAAAGAAATGACAAAACTCACACGGAGAAACAGATTTGTTGTCAATCGACTCATCTGTTTGTTCAACAAATATACATTTGAGGGCCAGTCCTGTGTTAGGCCCAGAGGTCTGTTTCCAAAAAGCAAACCTAAGGTTTTAAAATGTCAGCACCCAAGATACTCACATCGTATGGGCTCAAGCTCAGGAGACAATTCCAAGCTAAGAGTTCTCAAAATGTTTGCATTATAATATCAACTTCACTAAAATATGTTCATTAACTTTATAGACAGCTACTTTCGTTCAAATATTTCAGTATTTATTTAAATAGACTAATGTTAAAAAAGAGTTACATTGCTGGCTATGACATATAAAGTATGTCTATGAAAGTATGCATACCCATAAAACTAAATACATATAACATATATGTTACATAAAAAGGAGATTGTTAAAGCCAAAGCAGAGGAAAGTTGCACAAATTTGCATGGCTTAAAGAAAAGAGAGGACCAGACAGAAATAAAAATGTAGACTTGTCCTTAATACTTTAAAAATAATCAAGAGAAATGCTCATTAATCACTTGTATCTTTTTTTTTTTTCTTTTTGTCTTTTTTCATGACTGGTAACGGGATCACAACCCTCGGTGTCGTGCCTGTACCGCGACCGGCAACAGGATCACAATCCTCGGTGTCGCGCCCGCACCACGCTCAACCAGTGAGCGGACTGGTCTCTATATAATCACTTGTATCTTAAAGAACTTAACACTACCATAGGTTTAACTGGATGAAAATTAAGTAAAAAAAATTTGGGAGGTGGGGGTGCTGGCCAGTATGGGCATCCGAACCTTTGACCATGCTGTTATAATACCAAATTCTAACAAACTGACAGGCCAGCCCAAAATTAAGTAAACGTTAATGAAAAATATAAAAATTCAAAACTGTAACTACCAATTCACATTTTATAATTGAGATTACTATATAACCCATGGGTCAACTTCCAAATAGCTGTTTGCGTTATGGAGCCTAGCCTTACTGACAGCTCTTCACACCAGAAATGTTCATTCTCCAGAAAAGAAAAAATAGAGAAAGAAAATTTGATACCCTGCTTTCCAGGCTTAAGCACTCAGTAAGTATAATAACCACCGTCACACCATTACTTAGACAGTGTTTACAACGTGCTAGTTACTGCATTAACCCATTCATTCCTCACAGCAACACGGTCAGTCACATGTGAGAAGTCAAGGAAAACAGGAGGGGTAGTGAGAACAACATGAGCAGGCAGAGAAGGCTGGAGCTGGGGGTGCTGTCGACAAGCTGCAGAGAGAAGCAGAGGCAGTGAGAAGACAGAATTCTTCCTGCAGTTTGACAAAGACTCCTGTGCTTGCTCCCTGAAGTTCAATGACCCCAGGAACCACAAGGTGCAGAACTTCACAGCAGCATCAAGGGGGGCCATAACACAGCAGAAAACATTGAAGCCACTCTAACAAGGTTTAGGCAAGTGGCAGGATAGGAGCAGATCTGTTAAGAGAAATCGTCCTCACATATGGATTCTAAATAGTCCCAAACAGTGAAGGGTAAAGTATTTAAAAAGTTGTCAGTAAAGTGAAAGAGAAAGTGGACAACTGCACATGAATTGAAAAGGAGTACAGAAAAATGAAAACTGATCAGCACATCTGGAGCTAGGCACCCTGGATGAGAGGAAGCTTACACAAAAGCAGCTGTTCAAATAATTTTGCAGATTCTGACTCACCAAAGAAACTAAGTTAGTGTCCTAGGATGCACCTGCCCAAGTTGAAGCTCCCACACCACATTCTGTAAATGTGTGTGGATAAAAGGAGCTCAAGGGGCACTATCTCTAACCTAAATGCTCACTGAAAAGAAAAAAGACTCTCCACAAGCAAATTCACTGACTGAGTCCTGTGTATTTTCATAAACTGATTTGGGACTTTAGGGGTCTTACAAAAAGCCTTTGATAAGAGCCATGTCACAGCCTCCTTGGACAGAATTCCTCGTTTGCACATGAAGGACGCATCATCTGATACCTTCCTACACACGTACTTGGGAAGATCAATGAAATGCTGGTGTCTGGGCACCTTGAGGATAACAACAGCCAAATTTCAAGTTAGCCCTAAAATCTTTTCATCCTCTGGGCCTTTGGGAAGAGCCAAACGGAAACACTAGTCACATTTTGCTTGGCCTTAATGCTACAGCTTGCTAAACAGGAACAGGAACAGATCTTGTGTCCTTTTACTTGAAACCAAATTCCAGTTAAGTAAACAAACTGCTTCCTGGTGAAGGAGTTCTAACATCTGCCACCTGCACTCCGATCCCAATGATTTACCCTAAAAGAGACTGAGTATCTGCTGAGAGCTACAATGTGGACTATGTACCTCCAAAATCCATACTTATTAGAAACCTTTGATGGAGCTATGGCTTCCTTATTTCTAGAACCATCCCAATAACAAAGAATGACACTCACTTTTAACACTCACTCAGTCCCTTACAGGGATGAATTGTAGCATAAACTAAAACCATGCCAAATTATGTTTTTTGGAGGACAAGATTATTAGTTCCACCCAAAGTTAAGCATTTTTGCTTTAAAATGAAAAATTAACTCAAATGGGAGGCATAACAAAATATAGATCCTGACTTTTACATTTCTGTTTAATGGTTTCAAATCCCAAATTAGAGAATTCTAATGGAGTAAAGGGAGTGGAGTAAAGGGAGAGAATTCTAATAAATGCCTAATCCTATGGTGTCACATGCTGTGCTGCACACAATTTTAAACTTCTGGCTTTCACTCCCAGTCAGTGAATCTCTGTTGAACGCCAAACCTAGTACCGTTATGTTCAAAGTTACTCAAGATGTAAAAGGCCTACTCTTTAAGAAATTTAAATCTGGGGCCGGCCCGGTGGCGCACTGGATAGTGCGCCGCTTGGGAAGCGCGGTGGCGCTCCTGCTCGAGGGTTCGGATCCCACATACAGACCGGTTCCCGCTCACTGGCTGAGCGAGGCATGGGGGCGACGCTGAGGGTTGCAATCCCGTTGCCGGTCCCCGGCCCGGTGCGGGGGCAACACTGAGGGTTGCGATCCATTGCCGGACACGGAAAAAAGACAAAAGACAAAAAAAAAAACAAAAAAAAAAAAAAAAAAAAA